TGACCTGAAGATACTGTCTTTACTTTACTCTGCCGGCTGCAGACATTGTGTTTTCTGTCCATATTTAAACACGTTGTTCTCTTCAGTCATCGGCCCTTTTGTATGTACAGTATTTGTATTTTTATTGCTGACTGCTGTTAGTTTATGCGCTGTAAGATCTGGAGATGAATTTCTCTTGTGAAAATGTCTGTGGCTTCGCTGTAGCCCACAGATTAATTCAAGTATGCAAATGTAATTGAATTTGATCCAGTTAATCTTGTCCTAATGCCGGCTGAAAGATGTGAGGAGCAATCTCTCAGGCCTTACATTTGCATCAGAGTTTTTAAATAAAATTAGTCCATTTGTAATTCTGTGACCCGGCCGGTAATTAGTTTATTCATCGCTGCAGTTAACTCCCCATTAGAGATCTCTGAGAGAGAGAGAGAGGTTATTTATTTCTTGCTCTGTGCACTGGTAATCAGGACAGTCGCAGCCTCAATTAGTCTCTCATTTAATAACGCTGAGAGTCGTGTGATCGGATGGTTTAGTTACTCGAGAACACAGCCGTCTCTCAGTCAGACTGTAATGAGGAACCTCAGTTTCTTCATCTTTTGCAGTGTTGTGTTTGATTTCTGAACAATGACTGAAAGTACTTACTAAACTACTGCATCATTTTGTAAAATTATTATATATTATGTTTTATTTAAAATTATTTTGTGTGTGTGTGTGTGTATGTATATACAGGTACATCTAAAAAAATTAGAATATCATGAAAAAGGTCCATCTCCATTAAGCTTGTCAGCAGAAGGAAGCATGAAGTGCTCCAAAATGTCCTGGTAGATGGCTGCGTTGACTGTGGACTTCAGAAAACACAGTGGAGCAACACCAGCAGATGACATGGCAGCCCAAATCATCACTGACTGTGGAAACTTCACACTGGACTTCAAGCAACACGGTTTCTGTGCCTCTCCACTCTTCCTCCAGACTCTAGGACCTTGATTTCCAAATGAAATGTAAAATTTACTTTCATCTGAAAAGAGGACTTTGGACCACTGAGCAACACAGTGGCTTGACACGAGGAATGCGACATTTGTAGCCCATGTCTAGGATTCGTCTGTGCGTAGTGGC